CTTATGAAGTGAAAACCAACCAATGACACTGTTGTCATTCCCACTACCAATTGCTCTTCCACTCACAAAAGAAAGCAATTATTTCACCTTCTGAGAGTGAAACCTGCCTGGTTGCTGACAGTTTAGAAAGAGGAGGTGGAAAAAGTCAGAATTTCATGCTGTATAATTACCAATCCCTTGGTTTGCATTAGTAGTGTATAAATAAAATTTAGGAACATTACAGTACTTTTTTTTTTTTAACAAAAAATATTCTTATGCCTTTTAAATACTGTCTTTATGTTGCACAATTTGGAAATCAATGTGTGTCTAAAATTGCTGGGTTGACTTAATGCATAGTAGGGCAGTGGACTAATATTCTGAAAGGTCCTTCTTTTTATTAACAGAATTTCTTTTGTAAGATTAATACAGGCATTTTTCATTGTAAAATAACATTGTAATTGGTCATAGGACAGATTCTTTTCCTTTTAAAGAAGTGGTTTGTTCTTTGGCATTTTCGTGGTGGTGGTTTGTGAGAATGTAACTCAACTGAGGTACTATATACTAAGCCATGTACAAATTCAGTATGATAGCTCTGACAGTGATGTCAGTTTTTGCTTTTAAAAAACATGATAGAGTGCATTGTTTAAAGGTGCAGAATTCTCTTAGTTCCAGCATTCTTGGGGTTGCAATAAAAGTCAGTATCCAGCTGGGCGCGGTGGCTCACACCTGTAATCCCAGCACTTTGGGAGGCCGAGGCAGGCGGATCACGAGGTCAGGAGATGGAGACCATCCTGGCGAACACTGAAAACCCGTCTCTACTAAAAATACAAAAAAATTAGCCGGGCATGGTGGCGGTTGCTTGTAGTCCCAGCTACTCAGGAGGCTGAGGCAGGAGAATGGCATGAACCCGGGAGGTAGAGATTGCAGTGAGCCGAGATCGTGCCACTGCACTGCAGCCTAGGCAGCAGAGCGAGACTCCATCTCAAAAAAAAAAAAGGCAGTATCCACTCTGTAATGTTTTAGACTTGTGCTGTCCAGTCTGGTAGCCGCTAGCTACATATGGGTATCAGAACATGAGAAGAATATTTTCTAAGAGTAGATTATTTTCTAAAACCTGGATACCAGTATTTAGCCAGCCCTGTTTGGGTATAGCATGAAATGGTACCCCTGTTTGCAGGACTGTGCTTCCTCACTTTTTGCATGTCATGGCATTCCTAAAAAGCAGTGATGTTTGTGTGGCACACTGGGATACACAGCGGAGGGTGCTTATAACTAGGGCTTACAGATCTGGATGCTCTGCAGCACCAGGCAAGACCGTACCTCATTCTTGGCACGCCAGTATGCAGTGGCACATATGGTACAAAGCTGCTTCAGAGTGCTCCCTGTAACTCATTCCTGGATGTTTTTCTTGGTCTATGAGCGGAATTTGAATGCATTCTCCCTTCTTATTTCATCATTTTTATATGTCATATTCCCAGTGAGACTGTGAGACATTGGCATTTCACAACTTAGAAAACCTTTCAAAGCATCATCCATAAACTTAGAGATTTAGTGAGTAACTGTATATATGATCTTTCTTTTCTTCTCTTTTGTTTAAGGGAGAAAGGAGGAAGGAACACCATGATGTGGTGATGTATTTAAATTCTGTTTTACAAACCAGGAAAATACTTTTCCTACCAGAAATATGGTTACATTAAATATATGCAGTATAAAAATCTCAGCAAGGAGACCATGAATCTGTCCATCTACCCCTCCCCGAAATAAAATTACACTGTTCAGATAAAAAGTGACTTGGTTGGCTGTTTCTGAAACTTTTTGTTTATTGGCTTTTGGCAAGATAAATAGTAACAAACACCAGTGTTTTAAGAAAATCTAAAAATTGGTAATCCATTCACCCAGTATTTATTTCCCTCAAGGATTTTATAGTGAGTTGACTTTTATTGTGTAAATCTTTGGTTCTTGCCCCTTTCCTGATGTCCAGCCACTTGCTGTTTGGGCCAGTTGTTTCTAGGATTCCTCACCCTTACACGAGGGCCCCTCTTAAAATTCTTTACCCTTGCTACAAAACTAGTTCACTGCTAAACACATACCATATAACTTTACGCTAAAAATGTCATCATAAAATAATTGTTCCTGCCATAAGAAGTGATACATTATTGGAGCAAATGTCTTGTTTCTGTTGCATCTTGCAATCAAGTCTTTTTCTTCTCCCCATACACCCTTCACCTTTCTCTTCCATTCGCATGTTCAGTGATTACATTATAACTGGTTGTGTGAGTCCCGTCTTCAGTTTGGAGTATTGTACCTACTGCTTTATTACTTGATTCTTGTTCTGTCTTATAATAAAATAGATAAGGGCCAGGTGTCGTGTTTTGTGGTTCATACCTGTAATCCCAGCACTTTGGGAGGTCAAGGCAGGAGGATCGCTTGACGCCAAGAGTTCAAAACCAGCCTGGGCAACGTGGCAACACCCTGTCTATAAAAAATAAAAAAAAATTAGACTGGCGTGGTGGTCCACACCTGTAGTCCCAGCTACTTGGGGAGCTGATATGGGAAGATTGCTTGAACCCGGGAGGTCAAGGCTGCAGTGAGGTATGATTGAACCACTGCATTCCAGCCGGGGCAACAAAGCAAAACCCCATCTAAAAAAATAATAAATTGGCGTGGGATGTGCCTTCCCACCCCACCCCTCAGTCTGAAATCTCAGTTGTTTTACTGTAATGCTGTCCTTACTGACTTAATCATCTCTAGGTTTTCTGTATTCAGTTCACTTAAGGAATATTAAGGTTTCTTCCTTAGTAGAAATTGAGCCCAGCTAGGTATGGTGGCTCTTACAAACTTCCCGCAGTTTGGAGGGCTGAGGTGGGAGGATGACTGGAAGCCATAAACTGAGACTACCCTGAGCAACATAGCAAGACCCTGTCTCTACAAAAAATTTTTTAAAATTAGCCAGGCATGGTGGTGCAGGCCTGTAGTACCAGCTATTCAAGAGAGTGAGTTGGGAGGATCACTTGAGCCCAGGAGTTCGACTTGATTGCGCCACTGCACTCCAGCCTGGTAAACAGGCCTTTTTTTTTTTTTTTTTTTAAATCCTGCACCAAACCTACCCATCTAACTTTACTGCTTCAGGCTAGTCATGCCATGGTCACTGACATCTCCCTTACTAAGTGATAGTTGTAACAGCTCATCAACCTGACCAGGAGTTGTGGTTAAGTGGATGCAACAACTTGGTTGAACAGGAGAATGAGTCTGGTATTGGTTTCAGATGTGAGCATTTCTCCAAGCTGAGAGCATATTTTAGAGATCAAAGATAGGTATTTTTGGTACAGCATGGTTTTATATTCAAATTAACTAGTTCATTTGATGGTTAGGCCAAAAAACAGCAAATTATCAATGCTGTAGGGAAAATTGTCTGAGCTGTATTACGGAAAAGAATTTGTGTCTTCGGAGTGTTTGTGTGAGGGATTTGAATTTAAAGATAATCTTGACTCTGTATGTTTGTATTCTTTGATTTTAAAGCCTAACACTCAAGTAAAATTTGATTCAGTATTTTTTGTCTGCTACTCTTTGCTCCTACTTATCTCCCCAAGTTGTACTCTAATGTGCTTTAAGTGCAGGGACTTTGTATATTTTTAATCCTTTATTTGCTGTAGAAGTCAGTAGTACAGTACAGAACTCCTAATCAAATGACTTCTCAGTACTTACTGGTGTTTGCTTTACTTACTAGCCTGGTATATTCAGTTTTACGCCTTGTGCGTTAGGTAAGCAGTGAACACATTAAGTTTATTCTTTCCTGGTAACCACTGTGATGTAGCCAGGGGTTTTTTAACCTGGTGGTGAGGTATTGTCCAAACAGTCTGAGATAATATGCACATTTTTATGAGCACTTAAATATGTGCAATTTCGTGGGAGAGCATTTGTAACTTTTGGTAGATTGTGAAAGAGTTCAAAAAGATTAAATGCCTTGGACCTAAACAATGGAGGAAGCAAAGAAACCTTTTCAAAATCTGAACTTAAAAAATTGCTAAAAGAAAATTATGAAATGCAGTGCTGGAAAGGTTATTGGTAAAATACATGTCAGTAAATTTAAAATTTTAAAGTATATATATCGTCAGATTCTTAAATTCTTAACAGTAAGCTACTGTAGACCAAAGGATAGCTGTTCTCTCATAAAACTGACTTGTTTTAAATGTATATGATAGGAGCTTTTCTAATTCAGCTTAAAGCTTTATAGTGAAGAACTTGTTAATAACACAGTGATGAATTGTACCGTGTTATTGCTTTATCTTATGCCCATTTCTGTAATTTAGACTTTTTTCCCTTAGGAAAAGGGCTCTAGTGTGAAAAAGCAAGAAAAAAAACCTGACAGTTTTATTTGATTGTGACTGTGAAGTCAGCACCGAGTTGGTAGAATCCATGTGACATGCCTGATCCTAGTGGCCCTGTAGTGTGGTGGAGCTGGAGGAGCCGTGCACATTGCAGGCACATAGCACGAAGCATTTCTGCTATCAAAAAGTGGGATCCATTTGCAAACATTTGTTTGAAGCCACGATTTTGAATTTATGACTTAAAATTCCATCTGAAAGTATTTATACATTTAAAATTCCTTCCCCTTGTTAGTAATATGTGCCTTTATTATAGATGATTATTTGCATTTGCATAAGCAAGCTTATCAAAAGTATTTTAAGAAAATTAGCAGGATGATGTTTAAGGGTGCTATCAGAATGTTTCACAAATTGTTGATTTCTTTGCATTCACAAATTTAGTGAAATATTAATAAGCTATTATTATTTGTTGTATTCTCTGCTAAAATAGTTTCATACTGGTTTATTCTGAGGAGAATTTTTTTAGTGGATCAAAATATGAAAGAACTTTAGATTCATGTTATTTCTGATGGGTGGTTGATGTACTTCAAAGATACACTTCATAGACTTGGAATGTTTGGAAAACATGCTAAGTTCTGAAACTAGTGAGTCAGGAAAAAAAACTAATATCTTTTTTGTTTTGTCTCAATTATACAGCAGATATAATTTCTACAGTAGAATTTAATCATTCTGGAGAATTACTAGCAACAGGAGATAAAGGTGGTAGAGTCGTCATCTTTCAACAGGAGCAGGAGGTAAGTGTTTAAAGTTTATTGTCTAAATTTCGGTTTGATCGTGGGACTAGAGCTTGGGTTGCACTGGAGAATCTCATCAGAGGATGTTGAAATTTTTAAAGGAGTGTGTGCTTATTGAATACAATGTCCAATATATAGACAGCTCTGGTTCTCTTAGCTTTGTATGTGTGCATGTGTGTACATGAGCGTATGTTGTTTTGGTTTAAAAACATAACACTAATTGTAAAAATACTTGATTAGAGAAGGGGGTGGAAAGTGATGGAATAATCCAAGATTTTAACGGTTTTGAAGTCTTGGCCCTTCATTATAATTTTTCCTTTAAAACTCCATAAAGCAAAGTTGCTTTGACTTCTTCTCAATGCTTGGTTTACTTTGTACAACTGAGGGGTGAGAGGCTAGTTTAAAGAAAAAGCAGCTCAATTTTTTTGATGTCAGTTCATACTAATACTGTTACAGTGATTTAAATGTAAAGGTTTAAATGACAGTTGCATGTACATGCATGTAAAGTAACTTAAAAATGCAGTGCTATCTTTTTGAAGAAAGAGAAAATTGCAGAATCTGTAATTAAAGTGGGCTTTTGTTTTGTTTTTCTTACAACTTAGGCACACTTCTAAATTTAATTGACTAGATTTCTCACTAAAAATTTTTTGCTAAACAAAATTTGTCACACTTGGTTTTTTCTTATTCATTCTCTCCTTCCATTTGTAGATCAGAGTTTAACCATTAAAATCAGTTGTTTTGAAACATTCTGCCCCTATTTATAATATATTTTAAAAGTTTAAAGTAATGTGGATAAATTGCAGGGTTTTACAAATACATGTCTAAATCATAACACGGAGTTAGGTTTTAAAGGATTGTGAAATTCCTTAAATAAGCAAAGAATCTAGTAATAATACTACTACTTTGCACTTCTATAGCGCCTTTGACCTGAGGATCTCAAAGTGCTTTACAAACACTAATGAATTAATCCTCACAACACCCCAGTGAGGTAGGTAATTTAATTTTAAAAGAAATGGTTAATAGTGTCTGATTAGAAGATGCACAAACACTAAATATGTCTTTTATTATTTTTTATTTTTATTTTTTGGTTGGAAGAAAATATGAAAATAAGACTCAAGCTTTGCTTGACAAAGAATGGTCTTGTGGGAAGGAGGGGGGCTAAATCAGTTTTCTGTTTTTAAGTAGCCAAAAACTTGACCATAAGAATCTTGACATACTTAGAGTTGACATGGAAGCTTACATTAGAATTTCATTATAATTTCCCTTTATTTACTAACGGGAAAGCCAAGATATAAATAGATTATTACTTAGTGGCAGAACTAACAAGCAGTACCCAGAACTTTTGACATGTCGTTTTTCAGTGTTCTTTGCTGTTTTTCATGCTGGATAACCAAAATGTGAATGTTTTTATCTGGAGTTTAGCACAGCCTTCCCATAGGTGTTCTCTGCCCTTGAATGTATTTTTTCCTGAAAGTTAATGACTCTCCACACTTTACTTTTATTTTAAAGAAAAGTATTTGAGAAAAACTTGTAAAAATTGATTTTGCCCTAGGCATAACATTCTGAGGCTTTCAGAAAGTCTTCATTTTTAATGAGGGCATTGTATCATTGTCACAAATACAAGTGTGTCAACTAAAAGCTAATTTGGAAGTATTTTACCTGAGAATGAAGTCATTTTCATCTCCTGTGGTCGTCGTTGTCCAAGTCAAAATCAAGTGTGGGAAAAAATGGCTGAAAATTTTAATTGAGGGAAATGTTTGCTTTAATATGGGTTTGGTAATGTAGTCAGAGTATTAGTATTTAGTATTTTCCTAAAGGCTGTTAGTAATACATTAATTTGGAATTAAAGGTCTAACATATAGTTACTGAAATTGCTCATTTTACTTGTATTAGAAAATAAGACAAAATTATTTTAAAGGTAATCATTTCCCATGATTCTTTTCTGAAATCCCACTGAAGATTCTAAAGTGCTAGTATTTTAAATACATATTCTTGTAAGGAGAAATGAGCAGAATAACTGTTTGAGAAGGGCCATCGGTAGGAAAAAACAGGACCTCCTTTTCATGTGTCATTCTTCTTAACCATATTTAAGAATTCAAAACGGAGAATTTTGTAAAAACTCAGTACATGTCTTTTGAGAATTACTTAGTGGTGTAAATATCAGTATGTTTTTAAGTGATAAAGTAAGAATGATGATGGTGATTGACTTTTCACTCCTGAAACCTGATCTTGACTATGAATTTGCTGTGTTTTGCCTATTTAATTTTCTACATTTTAAAGCCCTGTCTTACATTAGAGCTTCTAATATAGTGTTGTCTTCAGGATCTATGTCACTGGTCATAAATATGTATACTTTACACTTAGAGACACCTTTATTTCAATACCTAATGTAATTGGATGAGATTTTATGAATTCACATCTATGTATCTATAAGATAGTGTTACAGTTTGAAAAGTGAAAAATAGTCTTTTCCTAATTTGTAGGTAAAATCTCAGAAAAAGTTATTTAACAAAGTTATATTACTTCATTTAGTAGCAAAAATCAGATTAGGATTTGGGTCTCTGATTTTCAATCCAACTATTATATGTTCATTCCAGAGTACACTGGTGCCTAATGTTTCTTAGACTCTGATAATGGTGCTAGCCTTGTTTGCAGAACACACTGGCATTTGATCTATTGTAGCTTTATTCTCTTACATAGTGGCAGGGTTTCTTCTTAAACTTGACTTTACTGGGGACCAAAATATCTCCACCCACTCATTTTTATTGTCTTTACTTGGAAGAAGAAAAGATATAACAGCAGCAGAGAACTTGGTACGTCAGACTTTGACATCTGTAAACCCTCATGTCTGCTTCATTTATTTTACCCTTCAGAAGTAGCTAGTCTCCTTGCTGGGATCCAGGCGGGTATCTGTGTCCTCTTGCTGCCTGTCCATTTATTCCTCAATTATAACATGAAGAAACTGAGTAGTCATTCAGAGGCTCTTCATTTGGTTTGAGTATATTTCAGACTGATAATTGTTGAATATTTTTAGCATCATTTAATAGCATTTTTTATAACTAATATATTTGTATAGGTATTCTGCTACACAGAATCTCTGTTGTAGAATCAGGGCACCTAAAGAACTTGAGGCACAAAAGTAAAGTGATTTTCCTGATGTAATCACAGCTATCATGTGGTCAGTAAGAGTCTAAAATTCTGATAACAAATCCAGTGTTCTTTATAGCATGACCTGCTATAAGTGACCCATGTTATTTTTACAGCTTCTAGTAGCTTTCGACAGCAAAGTGAATGATAGGGTATATACTTTTTGTTAATGAAAATATTAATACAGGGTTTTGAGGGGAAGTCCGAACAGCTATTAAAGTGGATAATGATGTTCTCTAGGTTTTAGGGACTTTTGTTGTTTCCATGGGTGCTCAAATCAGGTGATTAGTGGTTGTCAAAGTAGCTGGTTTCCTACTGACTTTGGGTTGTTCAGACCTTCAGTTTCTCTGAGACTTTGTGATGTACCCTGTAAGGTAGTGTGGGGGCATGGGTGCTCCATTAAAGGGACAGCTAAGGTGTAAGGTGAGGAGGGAGGTTGTACCTCTTTCCACTTCTTCTTATAATCTTTCTAGATTGGTATGGGGCCTTTGATTTTTGTTTTCTAGGGCTGCTGGTAAGTTTCTTGGATTTCGAACCCTCGGGCTTTTTTTATTCTTAATATGGTATTCCCAAAACTCCTTAACAGGATACAGAAGAAACCTTAAAAAGCATGCTTTTCACAAAGGAATGGATAGTATTGCTAATATGATGGTATTCTCTTTCTAAATTATATAGGATTCAAAATGTTTGCATGTATTTAAAATGCAGACTTCTGGGTTGGGGGCCACAGCTGATGCCTGTAATCCCAACACTTTGGGAGACTGAGGCGGGTAGATCACTTGAGGGCAGGCTGGCCAACATGGTGAAACCCTCTATCTAATAAAAATACAAAAATTATCTGAGCCTGGTGACACATGCCTATAATCCCAGCTGCATGACTGAAGTATGAGGATCACTTGAACCCGGGAGGCAGAGGTTGCAGTGAGCCGAGATGGTGCCTTTGCACTCCAGCCTGGGAGACAGAGTGAGATTCTGTCTCAAAAAATAATAAAAATAAATAAAATGCAGATTTCTATCCTGCTCCTCAAGAATGTGTATGTATATGGTGCATTCATAGAATGTAAGAGCTAAAATTTATAGGGCTTTCTAGGGATTCTTAACTTTTTTTGTTGTTGTTGTCCCACGAATTCCTTTGGTAGCCTGGCAAATCCTGTAGACTTCTCTGAATGTTTTTTGTTTTGTTTTGTTTTGTTTTGTTTTTGAGATGGAGTCTTGCTCTGTTGCCTAGGCTGGAGTGCAGTGGTGCGATCTCAGCTCACTGCAACCTCCGCCGCCAGGGTTCAAGCAGTTCTCCTGCCTCAGCCTCCTAAGTAGCTGGGACTACAGGTGCACACCACCACACCTGGCTAATTTTTGTATTTTAGTAGAGATGGGTTTTCACCATGTTGGCCAGGATGGTGTCGATCTCCTGACCTCATGATCCACCCACCTCAGCCTCCCAAAGTGCTGGGATTACAGGCATGAGCCACCGTGCCCTGCCAGAATGTTTTAATTGCATAAAATATTTGAGATCATAAAGGTTGAAATAATTTACCAAAATATTCATAATTGAGTAATGTATGTTTTAAGCGGATAACAGCTGGATTATGATATTAAAATGTCATTTATGTGTGACAAAGTCACAAGAATTGCTAATACTGTATGCAGTTTGTTACCTGTGCCCATAATCAAAAGAAATGCTGAAATTTAACTGGAAGTTAGTGAAAATAAATGTGTACATTCTCTACCCTCCCCCATCCCCCACCCCCATCCAGGCTTACAACATCCCTGGGTTCTGTCGTTGGACCCTTGTGTCCATGAGCCCCCAAGTTATAACCCCTGGCAGTGCAATTTCCTTTTGCCAGCTGGGGGCC